AACCGCACCTTACCATAATAATAAAAAGTGGGCCATTCCTGGCCCTTCCCCCCTCCTCAACCATTATATATACGGAGTGGTATCTCCTGTAATCTCTCATTTACTTGATACAGCTCTCGGGCTGTGACGGTTCCACCTGAAGACGGAAGCTTGTGTTGCCTCCGAAACGTCGTGATTTTTTATTTTATTTTAGTTTTATTAATTTTTATTTTTTTTTACCTACGTGACTTTACCGAAAAAACCTAAGAATATGCCCCATCACTAATGGGGAGCTGAGGGGGTGGAGTGTTTAATGACACAACATACCCAGGCTGGTGCTTAGTTTTGGAGGGGCTGATGGTAAGTTCCCACCTCTTAGTAGCACACTCCAGGTTAAGCAGCAGCATCTCCAATTCCTCCTCTGAGTGAGAAGTAATCACCAGATCATCGCAGACATAACATGGTTGACCAATAGGGAGCCATCCCTCGACCACACCCGGCAATCTATCAGCCTCCCGTTGTATCTGTACCAGATGGAAATTTCTCCGGTATAGCCATGGGAAGCTTCTCAAACTACTTGATCAAAGATTATGTTAAATCATGTAGGAGCCAGAGGACATTCCTGTCGCACCCCAAGGTGAACATCGGAATGGCTCTGAATCCTGGACACGTAGCTTTATCCGGGCCTGTCCACCATTATAAAGGTCCTTAATGATTATTCTTTGGTTCTTTCGATAAAGTCACGTAGGTATAAAATAAAATAAATCACGACGTTTCGATTGAAAAACAAGCAATCATCATCAGCCTACGTGTTAAACTGAATCATCATCAGGTGGGAAAACCACAGCAAAAAACATTGTTTTGCTGAAGTGGGAGAGAGATGCCGTGGTAAGAGGTTATATAGGTAAGAAAGGGGGAGGGGCAAGAGGAGAAAGAGGGGGGGGGGGCTGCGTGGACGCTAGGAGAGGGACGTGAAGCTGGACGGGGGGAATTGGGCGGGGCTGGAAGTGGGAGGCCGAGAGAGCTGGGGATGCGGGGGGGGAAGTTAAATCGGAAAAATTAGACTAGTACCCGGCAGATATGATAGACAACCATAAAGCAGTTAGGGTTTAACCTGGTTAATAACATCTTTCCAATGATTGCTCAATTTGTATCCATCTTCTCGGTTGAAGTTATGTCTATGTTAATATATCTGGATGGCTTCATGAACAAACCTTTGATAGTAGCGCGAAGGTTTGCAGAGTACCTTGGTCCCGGAAACACAATATCATGTGAACCCACAGCGTTATAACAATGGTCAGCTATGGCAGAGGTATTGGTTCTGCCGTGTTTCAGATCTTCCTTGTGTTTGTGGACACGGTCCGAGACATGTAGTTTCGTTTCCCCGATGTAACCGTGTTGCAATCGAACCGTCGTGATTTATTTTATATCTACGTGACTTTACCGAAAGAACCAAAGAGTATGGATTCCTGCAGTCACTAAAAACTTAAAATCCTTAAAGATTCCGAGAGCATGAACAACAATCCAAAGCCCATGCCTATTGATGGTATCATAGTCCTTGACTAGGTCAATAAAGCAGAGATGTAGGTCTTGTTGGAATTTCCTACACCACTGCTGTAGCAGACGGACAGAAATATGGCATCTATGCAGGACCGCTCTGGCCTGAAACCACATTGGGGCTCCACAAGCCTCACCTCAGCGTGCCTGGCAAGGCGATACTCTTTGGTTCTTTCGGTAAAGTCACATATAAAGATACATTAATAAATTAAATACTAGCATACGACGTTTCGATTGCAACACAAGCAATCATCATCAGGTATAAATGAAATAGAAACACAAATCTAGTATACTTAGAAATGTAATGTAATACAACAGAGAGTCGGATAACATAAGTCAACACCCTACCTGGTTGATTACGTTGTTCCTGAGAATGCTAAATTTGAGAGAGAGATAAAACACAGAACCAGAGACATATAGACAGATATATAAGCAGACAGATATCACAGAGATACATAGAGAGAGTCAAAACATAGGCACACAGAGAAACCACGCCTCTGTGTCAAGGCCTTAAATAGAGATAGGGGGCGGGAGGCGGATAGAGAGGGAGGGGTTAGAGAAATTAGCATGTCAATAAGTGGCACGGTGAGTGGTACGGTGCAAAAGCTTGAAAAAATTAGGAGACAGGGAGAGAGAACACACTGAATGAAATAACACATGCAAAATTTCGAAATGTAATGTAATGCAACACAGAGAGTCGGTCAACACACAATTAACGCATAGCCTGGTTGATTACGTTTTTCAAAGATTGCTAAGTTAGAAGTTAAGTGTGAAATTTTAAAGAGAGACAAGACACAAACACGAAGAACAGTTTGGCAAGGCGATGTTGAGTAATCCTTTCCAGGACCTTTCCCAGAATAGAGAGGAGGGAAATGCCCCTGGAGTTGTTACAATCTTCTAATCATGCAGAACCCATCCAGTGGTCCAGACTGTTGTGATGATATCATGCAGGGCAGTGTGCACACATACGCTGCCCTCCCCAAGCAGTTCGCTCGTGAAATCATCTCTGGCAGGTACTTTTTCTGGTCTCAGACTCCGGATCGCCTTCTGTACTCAACAGATGGCACCCTCAGTTAGCCAGGGAATTACTACTTCTTCCAATATTTGAGGCATCGCAGCCCTAGCAGGATCATCCCCACCTTGCCCCATGTTATCTGGGCTGAGGAATTTCCCATCCCCGAAGACCTCATAGAAATTCTCAGAAAACCTGCAAACCTGTTCTTGCAGGTCAGAGATCAGATCACCGTTCTCTCCCCGAAGGATGATGATAGGTGTAGCGCTTATGAAATTAAAGAGTGATTTGCGATAATTAGCTAATGAAGCAGACTCCATCTCCTCAGCAACCTGCGACCACCACCCATCCTTGCAGCGCTGCATGGCTCTTCACACCTCCAAGCAAAGGTTGCGGTCAGCCTCCTCATTCGCTGACATGAGATGCTGTAGACGGTGGGAGTGCGCCTGTCGCTTTTTCTCAGATAGTTGGAACACCTCCTTTATCAACTTGGGTCTCTGTGGAGGTCTGGATTGCGTACCCAACGCAGCTATTGCAGCAACGTAAGCCACATTCCACAACCAGCTGCAAGTAATAATGCAATTCTCGCTTGTAGCTTGCAGCAGCTAACTAAGACCAGGCCATTGTGGGTTTGAATGGCGTCCTGGATGGACACCCACTATCGCAGTGGAAGAATGGCAGGAGCATCTTACAGATGACAAGCAGATGGTCAGTGGGTAGATCAGCTCCACGGTAGGTCCTGGTGTCAAGGGCATGGGCCCGCATCCGCTGTTCCGTCACTAGAGAGTCCAGCAGATATTCTTGTTTGGACCCAGCGTGCATCTATGGTGTTGTGTGGATGCACCGATGCCGGAAAAGCGTGTTGGTAATTTCAATATCATGGGCTGCACAGAAGTCTAGGAGCCTCCTATCGTTGTTGATGAGCTGATATGGTCAAGGCCTTCCCATCACTCTGACCCAGGTGCCTGCATCACGACCCACTGTTCAGAAGAAGAGCCACTCCCTGTTGCTTAACAATTTCCTTCCCAGATTAGAGGACCAATTAGCACAGTTGGCTACGTACGGGGTGCAAGAATTTCAACATACGTACATACTGTCCACCCCTCAGTGACTGGAGTTGGAACCAGTCCATCTGTCTCCTGGCTCCACCAAATGGAGTTTGGCTAAGAGACGCCTGTCCACCTCAGAGGCTCCGGTAAAACTTTGATCTTTAATGCGTAGTTTTTTCATAATTTACAGAGCTGTTATGGTGTCTACAAGCACAATGAACGGAACAGCCAACTGAAATTGGCCTTCCCACAACAGCATTGCTCACAGCAAAAACTACCACAATTACAATATAGATTTGAAGTTTTCGTGACTGCAGGGATCCATACTCTTTGGTTCTTTCGGTAAAGTCACGTAGGTATAAATAAAATAAATTAAATCACGACATTTCGGGCGCAACACAAGCGTCCGTCATCAGGTGGGACAACCACAGCAAGAAACAATTGCTACACCATAGGGCCCACTGCATCTCTGACCAACACCACCTAGCCAGTGAATTGGAACATGGACACCAGGCCCTCAAGATGAATGGATACTCGGACCACATTATTCGCAAAGTTGTTTCTCCATCTCTAACCATAGAGAAACAACCCCCTGATATGCCGATCAAAACCATCACGTGACCATACATAGCAGGCGTTACCAAAAAGATTTCAAAAATCTTAAACAAACAAAGATCCAGGTCTGATTCAGTACAGTACATAAAATCTGTGATCTAATCCCATCTGTGAAGGATGTCATCCCTGACATGCAATATCCTGGAGTCTACAAACTAAGTTGCGCCTGTGGTGGGTGTTACATTGGGGAAACGAAACGACATATCTCGGGCCGTGTTCGCAAGCACAAGGCAGATCTGAAACACGGCAGAACCAATACCTCCGCCGTGGCTGACCATTGCTATAAAGCTGTGGGCTCTCATGATGTTGTTTTTTCCGAGACCAAAGTACTCTGCAATCCTTTGGGCTCCTATCAAAATGTTTGTTCATGAAGCTATCCAGATATATAAACATAGACATAACTTTAACCGAGAAGATGGATACAAATTGAGCAATCATTGAAAGGATGTTATTAACCAGGTAAAACCTTAACTGCTTTATGGTGTTGTCTTCATATCCACATCTCCAGTTTCTTCTTCAGCCTCCCACTCCCAGCCCACTTCCCCCCGCCCGGCATTTTGCCTTGCTCCTAATCCCTCTAGCAGCCCTACACTTTCCCCTACCCCACACCCCCCTCTCTATCTCTCCTCCCTTGCTCCTCCCCCCTCTCTTACCTATGTAGCCTCTTGTCACGGCAGCCCTTTTGCCCACTTCAGCAATTGTTTCTTGCTGTGGTTGTCCTACCTGATGACGGACGCTTGTGTTGCACCCGAAACATTGTGATTTAATTTATTTTAGACCTACGTGACTTTACCGAAAAAACCAAAGAGTATGAGTACACCACAATTACCACAACCACCGCAACTACCACCGCAACCACCACCACACACCACCGCAAAAAAACACTAGAACCACCACCACTAGCAACAACCCGCCATTTGCCACTAATTGGCGGTGACGTCATGATGGTGCTTGTGCCAGACTGTGCGCACTTTGAGGCCACGTGAAGCATCCAACGCCCGCTTGCGGGAGGTCACGGGACAGACGCAGGTGCTATGGGTTGACTGACCACTAGTACCACCACTCACGAAAGTACCACCACCACCCCACCATTAGCACCACCACCCAAGCGCTGTGCACCTGCGTGTGCGGCAGGGCTGCCGGGCCTCACGAGCTGCTGGCCCGGCGACCCCGGTACCTCCCCGCCTCTCTCCGCCGAGCGGAGTCGCGGCATCGTGGGGTAGCCGTGCCACGCGAGTGCCGCCTGCCCCGCCGTCGCCGCAAAGCCGGCGCCCTTGGCGGGCAGCTGCTGAGCGCCGAGCGGATGCTGAGCAGCAGGCGCACCACCACCAAAACCGCTACCGCCACCACCACCGCCGCCACCACCCCCACCGTCCGCGTGCCCAATCTTGCCATGCGCCGACTGCGTGCGGTAAAGTTGCGGCGTCGCATTCTCACCTGCGGCGATCGCCACCGCCGCGTGACTCTGCTGCTGTTGCCTGTGGTTGTTGTGGTGCTTCTGATGGTGGTTGTGGTGGTGTTTAGTCCTGTGCTCCCTCCCCCGCTGCTGCTGCTCGGCTCGCCCCTTGCCCGTGCTCTCAAGCTGCAGGAGCCGCGTCACCTCGATGGGCGTGAGCGGGGACTCATCCGAGTTGGGCGAGCAGCGCGTCGGTGCCGGCGGGAACACGAGCAGGGGCGGGCGGTATGGGGGCAGGTCTGGGAACGGCGCCGGGATCGCGCTGGCCTCCGCTGACTCCGGCGCTGGCCCATCATCTGGCGCCACGAACCGCATCTCCTCATAGATTCCATCTCCCTCTTCATCGTCATCGTTGTCGTCATCGTCGCAGGCACCATCGGCGAGGGCGATGGCGCCGCCCTTGCCGTTCCCGTCTGTCGGCGCGGCGACGCACAGCATTTCGGCGTACACCGGCTCCTCATCCTCCTCACCGTCACCGGCACTGTCACTGTGCCGGGCCGCCTGCTCCAGTTCCGCAAAGCGACGGCCGCTGGTACTACATGGCATTGGAGGGGACGAGCGACCAGATTTTTGATCTCTCAGCGCCGTTACCGACGGGCAACTTGCCACAGCGGCAGCTAGCTGATGGTGATTCTGCTGCTGATGATGATGGGGATGCTTGTGAGGCTGCTGCCGGTGCTGCTGGTGGAGGAGCAGCTGGGAGTCACTCGCAGGCACGGTGGTGGCGGCGGAGGAGGAGGAGCGCGCCCGCTCCATCTCGGCACCGGCGCTTCCGGCGCGCCGGCGCATGTCCTCATGGGAGCTGCTGAGCCGCGTCTCCGGGTGTCGCTTGGGCTTGGGAGGCGGCTGCTTCTTGATGGAGCAGAACTCGTCGCTGTGTGGCCGCGGCTTCCCCGATCCTGCGCCTGCATGAGCACGCACACATGCACGCACGCACACATGCACGCACACGTGCACGCACGCACATGTACACACGTGCACACACGCACACACAAAGACAAAGGTTCCTTCCGTATAGCCCGTACAGAGCGTTGTGGGGTTAGTGACCATTAGCGAGCACCAGCACCCACGAAGGTCGGCACGACACGACACACGACATACGACAAGACACACGACACACGACACAGTGACATGACAAGGTACACGACAAGACACGACACAATACGAGACATGATGCATGACACATGACCATCATGAACAACCTTCATGATCGTTAGCAGAGTGTCTGGGACCTGGAAATTCATAAAGTAATAATCTACAGCTTCTAGCCTAAATTTCGATCTAAAGCTTTCATGATTGCAGGGATTCATCTTCTTGGTTCTTTCGGTAAAGTCACGTAGAAGGGAAGTAATAAAATAATAAAAATAAAACATAATAAAATAATTCTCACGACGTTTCGGCCACAATGCAAGCAGTCGTCCTCAGGTGAAAACCAGGTCTGTCGGGTTTGTCTATGGCAGTATATAGTACTAGCAGAAGTACCTGGCGTTGCCCGGGTGAAAAATATATTTCTTAATAACCTTACATATATACACAGATGGGCTGCTACCCCTGCCCCCCCCCCCCCCCAGCCACGATCTCCTCGGCCGCTGTGCAGTAATATGTACGGCCTATAGTGTGGTGGGGTGTCGAGACCTAGTACCGTGCAGAGCCTCCGGCCTCACCTAAATTGCCCACCCGGCTGAGGCTGGGTAATGTGGCCGTTACCCCCCCCCCCCGCGCTACAATAATACTGTCTAATCGCTATAATTTTATTATCTAGCGACCCTATAATAGTAATTGCACACATTGGGGTGGGGGATGAGTGAAGAGGACGTGAAACTTTGATGAATTTACCTCAGAGTCGCGTGTGAATGCGTGCGCATATTTTTAATGGGAATTAAAAATGGCGTCCACCCCGCAGCGAATGCGTCGCTAACCGTTGCCAGGGGCAACTGCCGCGGAAAACCAAACGGACCAATCGCGTCTCGCAAATCCCTCACATTTCGTCCAATGAAACTGCGTATGGTCCGGCGACACACAGACAAACAGACACACACACAGACAGACAGACAAACAGACAGACAGATTTGCGATTTTATATATATAGATGGTGTAGACTCGTGTGATGTAAGAGAATAAAGTTTATATGGAAGCATATGATATTTTTACGACGTAGAATTGTAATGTATTACTTACTGTTAGTAACTCAGCTTATTGTAGAGTATATTTAGTATACTGATGATACTATGTAGTTTATACTTTAGTTGTTTACGTGGTGGTTTTAGTTACTACAGCTACATACTATTAACACTCCTTCCCTTTATTAATGCTACCCCTATCCCCTCCCTTTGATGCTGCTAATCCTGCATAATGCACGGGTATAAGTAGTACTAATCACATACCTGAATTTCCCATATCCCCTCCCTTTGATGCTGCTAATCCTGCAAAATGCACGGGCATAAGTAGTACTAATCACATACCTGCATTTCCCATATCCCCTCCTTTTGATGCTGCTAATCCTGCATAATGCACGGGCATAAGTAGTACTAATCACATACCTGCATTTCCCATAAATATGCAAAATTCCTCTTGATATGCAAATTCTTTTGTCAAGGCGCCCTTTCCCCCCCTTCCAACCCAGCTTAAATATATGCTCCAAGCATGGTGCTGTTTCATTCAGACGCTGTCGCCTAGACAGACCTGGTTTTCACCTGAGGACGGCTGCTTGCATTGTGGCCGAAACGTCGTGAGAATTATTTTATTATGTTTTATTTTTATTATTTTATTACTTCCCTTCTACGTGACTTTACCGAAAGAACCAAGAAGAAGCTTCTAGCCTACTTGTTGGTATCAGTGCTCACAAACAAAAGACAAAGATGTCCCCCCAGTGTAGCCTTATCAAACTATTGGGGCAAGTGCTGTTCGTGAGTAGCACCTATGAAGGCCAGAACGGCACACGAGTGGGTGAGTGGCCAGCACCACGTTCGGCCTCCTATGTCTCCCCAGTGCCGATGTTTACACACCGCACCAGGTACTCATTTGAGGCCGAGTCAACCTAGGGGAGGCCCAGAACCGATTCAGTTAATCGTCACTGGTGTTGGCCATGAGCAGGAATCGAACTCGGGTCGTCGGGTTCGTAGCGCAGCATGCTAACTACAACACTACCAACCCTGTGTGTACAGATTTGTACACGCATGACTACATGAGTATTTGTGAGTGTACACGCACGACTACATGTGTGTGTACATGCACGACTACATGTGTGTGTACATGCACGACTACATGTGTGTGTGTGTACACGCACGACTACATGTGTGTGTGTGTACACGCGCGACTGTATACGTGTGTGTGAGTGTACAGACGCACACGTACGATCAACAATGCTGCTGGTGGGACAGGAAACGTCGCCTGAACCCTAATCAGAGTCCTGACCCTACTCCTAACCAGAGCTCTATCTAAACTATTAAACTAAAACTTTATTTTACCAGGTAAGGCCCACTGAGCTATGTAGCTTTTTTTCAGAAGCGACCTGGCCACCAATGGAAATGTATAGCAGCCACATAACTCGAAACGCGTGACGTCAATCCTAAATGTCGAGGGAAAAACTGTGACCACGGAGAGAGAGAGACATTCAAACTCCAAATATACAGCAGGCGTCAGGGTCGAGATCCTCCTGTATACCAGGCGAGGTCGTTAACATCTTGTCACTGCAGCGCCCTATCACTAAACATAGCCCTAACTCGAGTAATCACCCGAGTTCTATTCCTTGATCCCGGACCCCTGACACCTGGCCCCTGACCGTTCTCAGCAGGGCTCCTGGCTGGCTCCTCGGGGGCAGAGCCTCCGCTCACGGCCTCCGTCGATTGGCTGAGCCTGGTGCCGGGATCCCTCTTGGGCTTGGGGGGAGGGGCTTGTCTCCTTGGTGACGGGGACCCGCCCCCCTCCTCCGCCCGTCGCCGTGGTAACGGGGACCCACCTCCCTCCTCCGCACGTCGCCTTGGCATTGGAGATGCTGGGGTGGGCGTGGCCTCTGGGGAGGGGAGGGGGGGGTTCACGTGACCACACACACACGCACGTACAAAGGCAAAGGTCTCTCTATAGCCTACACAGCCTGTTGGGGCGAGTGCTGCTAGCACACACACACCGACCTACAGGCACACAACAACAACCACAACCTCTACTCACCACTCACTGATGACCACCAGAGTGCGTGGTGCCCACATGCACACACCATGACCCAACCCTAACCTTTACCATCACCCTGAACTTGGCACTGCCCTTATTCCTCGCTCTAGGCCCAACAATGACTCCAGCCTCATATCTACCCCTGCACCATAACCCTGACCCCTATTAGATCCCTAACTCTGACTATAACCCGAGCCCGATCCTTTCCCCAACCCGATGCCTTAAATGAGACTCAAACCCTAACAACCGCCCTCCCGGGCCTGGTCTCTGAAGGGGTTAATCCCTCTTACCACGCTCCTCCCTCTGACACCCTTGCATCATCATCATCGCCTCCTCCTCCTCCTCGTCCCCGTGTTGCCATGGACACGGTTGCCGTGCAACCACGGTCCCCACTTCGCCATCGCCGCCATCCAACTCTGCACGTTGCCGCGGCAACGGTTGCCGGGCGACGACGGTCCCTGCGTCGTCGGGAAGGGGACCCCATGGGGGCGCCGGCTCTCTAGCGGGGGAGAGCGGAGACGACGCTCTGACGGACAGACGGCCGGGCAGACGGACAAACGGACAAAAGAATGAACGATTTAATGAAGGAGTTTACATACAGATGAATGGACAAACAAGTAAACTGAGAGATGGACACAGACAAACAGTTGGAAGGACAGGTGAATGGATGGATGAATTGTTGGGTGGATGGTTAACTAGACGGATGGACAGTGATGGAGTAAGCGAGCATTGAAGCAGGCGACAGTGCCAACGAGCAAGTGATATTATAGGCGAGTGAATGAGCGGGTGAGTGATGGAGTGAGTGATGTAGTGGGTGAGTGACTGATGGAGCGAGCGAGTGAGGGAAGGAATGACGGAGCGAGCGAGTGAGAGAGCAAGTGAGTGACAGGGTGAGCAAGTGACGGAGCAAGTGACGGACCGAGTGAGTGATGGAGTGAGTGAGTTATGGAGTGAGTTAGAGCGAGTGAGTAATGGATTGAGTGAAAGAGCAAGTGAGTGACAGAGCAGGTGAGTGACAGAGCAAGCGAGTAACGGAGCGAGTGACAGAGCAAGTGAGTGAGTGATGGAATGAGTGATGGAACGAGTGAGTGAAGGAGCAAGTGAGAGAGTGAGTGAGTGATGGAGCGAGTGAGTGGTGGAGCGAATGACAAAGAAAGTGAGTGACAGAGCAAGCGAGTGATGGAGCAAGTGACAGAGAGCGAATGACGGAGCGAGCGAAGTGATTGACAGAGCGAGTGAGTAAGTGAGTAATGGAGCGAGCGAGAGATGGAGGGAGTGAAGGAGCGATTTAGTGACAGAGCAAGTGACAGAGTGAGAGCGAGCGAGTGACAGAGTGAGTGGAAGAATGAGTGAGTGACAGAGCGAGTGAAGGAGTGAATAAGTGACAGAGCGAGCGAGTGGCGGAGCGAGTGACAGAGTGAGAGCGAGCGAGTGACAGAGTGAGTGGAAGAGTGAGTGAATGACAGAGCGAGTGAAGGAGTGAGTAAGTGACAGAGCGAGCGAGTGACGGAGCGAGTGACCAAGTGAGTTACGGAGCGAGTGAGTTACAGAGCCAGTAACGGAGTGAGCGAGTGACGGAACGAGTAACGGAATGAGTGAGTGAGTGATGGAGCGAAAGAGTGACGGAGCGAGTGATGGAGCGAGTGAGTGACAGAGCGAGTGAGTAAGTGAGTAATGGAGCGAGCGAGAGATGGAGGGAGTGAAGGAGCGATTTAGTGACAGAGCGAGTGACAGAGTGAGAGCGAGCGAGTGACAGAGTGAGTGGAAGAATGAGTGAGTGACAGAGCGAGTGAAGGAGTGAATAAGTGACAGAGCGAGCGAGTGGCGGAGCGAGTGACAGAGTGAGAGCGAGCGAGTGACAGAGTGAGTGGAAGAGTGAGTGAATGACAGAGCGAGTGAAGGAGTGAGTAAGTGACAGAGCGAGCGAGTGACGGAGCGAGTGACCAAGTGAGTTACGGAGCGAGTGAGTTACAGAGCCAGTAACGGAGTGAGCGAGTGACGGAACGAGTAATGGAATGAGTGAGTGATGGAGCGAAAGAGTGACGAGCGAGTGATGGAGCGAGTGAGTGATAGGGCCAGTAATGGAGTGAGTGAGTGACGGAGCGAGCGAGAGATGGAGCGAGTGACAGAGGAAGCGAGTGACAGAGCGAGTGAGTGACAGAGCGAGTGACAAAATTAGTGACAGAGTGAGCGAGTGACAGAGCGAGTGATAAAGCAAGTGACAGAGAGAGTTACAGAGCAAGTGACGGAGTGAGTGAGTGACGGAGCAAGTGAGTGACAGAGTGATCAAGTGACAGAGCGAGTGAGTGGAGCGAGTGAGTGATGGAGTGAGTGACAGAGCGAGTGAGTGACAGAGCGAGCGAGTGACGGAGTGAGTGACGAAGTGAATGATGGAGAGAGTGAGTGACAGAGCAAGCGAGTGACAGAGTGAGTGACAGAGCGAGCGAGTGGTGGAGTGAGTGAGTGAGTTAGTTACAAAATGAGTGAGTGACTGAGCACATGAGTGATGGAGTGAGTGACGGAGCGAGCGAGTGACAGAGCGAGTGACAGAGCGAGTGACAGAGCAAGCAAGTGACGAAGCGAGTGACAGAGCGAGTGAGTGACAGAACGAGCGAGTGACGGAGCGAGTAACAAATTGCATGATGGAGCGAGTGAGTGACGGAGTGAGTGAGTGACAGAGCGAGCGAGTAACGGAGTGAGTGACAAAGTGAGTGAGGGACCGAGTAAGTGATGGAGCAAGTGACGGAGTGAATAAGTGATGGATCGAGTGACGAAGTGAGGAACAGAGCGAGTAACGGAGCGAGTGAGTGACGGAGCGAGCGCCTGAGTAAGTGACTGAGCGAGTGACTGAGTGAGTGATGGAGTGAGTGACGGAGTGTGTGACTGACAGAGCGAGTGAGTTATGGAGCGAGTGACGGAGCGAATGACTGGGCGAGTGACTGAGCGAATGACTGAGCAAATGATGGAGCGAGTGACAGAGTGAGTGACTGACAGAGCGAGCGAGTGATGGAGCGATTCATTGAGTGAGCGTGTGACTGAGCGAGTGACGGAGCGAGTGACTGAGCGAGTGACTGAGTGAATGACTGAGGCGAATGACGGAGCGAGTGGCGGAGTGAGTGACTGACAGAGCGAGCAAATGATGGAGCGAGTGACAGAGTGAGTGACTGACAGAGCGAGCGAGTGATGGAGCGATTCATTGAGTGAGCGTGTGACTGAGCGAGTGACGGAGCGAGTGACTGAGCGAGTGACTGAGTGAATGACTGAGGCGAATGACGGAGCGAGTGGCGGAGTGAGTGACTGACAGAGCGAGCAAGTGATGGAGCGAGTGACTGAGCGAGTGACTGATGAAGTGAGTGACTGATGGAGCGAGTGACTGGGCAAACGAGTGACCGAGCGAGTGACCTAGCGAGTGACTGAGTGAGTGCCGGAGCGAGTGACTGAGCGAGTGACGGAGCGAGTGACGGAGCGAGTGGCTGAGCGAGCGAGTAAGGGAGGGATCGAGCGACCGTGGGAGTGAGCAAGGGAGCGACGGAGTGAGTGACGAAGTCAGTGAGTGATGGAGCGTGCGGCAGAGCGAGTCACTGAGCGAGTGACTGAGCAAGTAACTGAGTGAGTGAGTGAGGGAGTGAGCGAGCGAGTGAGGGAGAGAGTAAGTGATAGAACGAGCAAGTGAGGGAGCGAGCGTGAGTGACGGAGCGAGTGAGTGAGGGGGCGAGCGGCGCATCTCACCGCTGCCGCGTCTCCTCCTCGCGGCGCCACCGCTGAAGCTTATCCCGCAGATAGGCGCGGTGCGTCTCGGAGCGCAGGCGGTCACTCTCACGCGCGATGTCTGAGGCGTTCTGGATGACGAGCGAGTCGTAGACACGCAGGCACGCGTCCTCCACGCCTGTCACAAACTCGCGTGTCACCACCGCCTCCTGCCGGTGCACACTCATTGTGCGGCAGCGGCGCCGCCAGTGCACAAACCGGCGCACCGCTGTCAGAACAAGGGGCGGAAGGGGAGAGCGAGCATGGGTGAGCATGCGTGAGAGTGTGTGAGTGAGCATGAGTGAGTAGGTGAGCATCCGTGAGAGTGAGTGAGCATTCGTAAGAGTGAGTGAGCGTGCGCGAGGGAGTGAACGAACATGCGTGAGCGAGTGAGCACAAGTGAGCGTGCCTGAGTGAGTGAGTTAGCGAGCGAGTGTGTGTGCGAGCGAGCGATCGTGCGTGCATGCATGAGTGAGCGTGTGTGAGTGAGTGTGCATGAGTGAGTGAGTGAGCGAGCGAGCGAGTGGTGTACCCTGCTGGCAGATGACGATCTTGCGTCTCAGCTGCAGGCAGAGTGCAGCGAGGTGGTCGCCCTGCCAGTACTTGAGCAGCACACGCGACACTCCCACCTGGAAGCAGAAACATCATCAGCAACATCATCAGCAGCAACATGAGCATCAGCTGCAATATTAGCAGCAACAGCAGCAGCAGCAACAACAACATCATGATTAACAGCAGCAACATCAACATAACAATAATTTACACGTGTAAAATGGCACATTTCTTCCATATACCCCAATGCGCCACCTGGTATGGATAGCCAGGAAGTAAACAGAAACTGCAGGGTGCACGGCTTTTCAACACAGCAACATCATCTTGCAACACCATCATCATCAGCAGCAGCACCACCACCAGCAGCAGCAGCAACAATGGTAGTAGTGGTGCATCGTGAACATCATCATCATCATCATCAGCAGCAGCAGCAGCAGCAACAACAGTGATAGTGGTGGTGCATCGTGATCATCATCATCAGCAACAATTGTAGTGGTGGTGCATCATAATCATCATCATCAGCAGCAGCAGCAGCAGAACAGTGGTAGTGGTGGTGCATCGTGATCATCATCAGCAAGCAGAAGCAACACTGGTAGTGGTGGTGTGTCTGGGTGTGTGTCTATGTGTGTGTCTTCTGCCCCGAATAGGAGACACACACTGTTCCGACATCGGTGCATCCACACAACATCATGGATGCATGCCGGGTCCAAGAAAGAACATCTGCTAGACTACGTAGTGACGGACCAACAGATGCGAGCCCATGTTCTTGACACCAGGACCTACTGTGAAGGTGATCTGCCCTCTGACCATCGACTTGTCATCTGTAAGATGCGCCTGCCATTCTTCCACTCCGGTGGTGGGTGTACACCCAGGATCCCATTCTAACCTAAGGTGGCCTGGTCTCAGCTAGCTAATGGAAGTTGCAAGGGAGAATTTAATCATCGATTGCGGCTGGGGTTGGCATCGTCCCCCACTCCTCCTGATGTTGAGGGTAAATGGGCGAGGTTTAGGACTGTGACTCATGCAGCTGCAATGGCTGCTTTGGGTACGCGGTCCAGACCTCCCCAGACACCCTGGCTGACAGAGGAGGTGCTCAGGATGGTTGAGAAAAAGCGACAAGCCCACTCTAATAATCTACAGCATCCCACGTCAGAGAATGAGGAGGCTTACTGCAGCCTTCACTCGGAGGTTCGGAGAGCCGTGATGCACTGCCAGGATGGGTGGTCGTCGTGGGTTGCTGAGGAGATGGAGTCTGCCTCAATGGCCCGCGATCACAAATCCCTATTTAACTCCATCAAAAAAGTAACCTGCAGCGCCACACCTATTACCATCATTAGGGGAAAGAACGGTGGTCCAATCTCCGACCCCCAGGAACAGGTTTGCAGATTTGCTGAGCATTTCTGTGAGGTCCTGGGGGAGGGGGAATCCCTCAGTCTGGAAAACATAATGGGACAAAGTGGGAATGACCCTGCTGAGGCTGCGGTGACTCAAATTTTGGACGAGGAAGTCACCCCCTGTGAGTGGCTGGCTGAGGTGCCATCCGTTGAGGAAGTACTGAAGGCAATCCAGAGTCTGAGACGAGGAAAGGCACCAGGCAGAGATGATCTCCCGAGCAACATGCTGAGCGAGGGTGGCGTTTGTGCGCAGGCTGCCCTACATGACATCAGAACAACAGTCTGGGCTACTGGATGGGTTCAGCAGGGTTGGAAGGATGCCCTGGTGGTCCCCCCCTTTAAGAAGGGGGACTGCACAGACTGTAACAACTACAGGGGCATCTCACTCCTCAGTGTGCTGGGAAAGGTCCTGGCAAGGATTATTCAACATCGCCTTGCTAGGCACATTGAGGAGAGGCTTGCGGAGCCCGAATGCGGTTTCAGGAAAGGGCGGTCCGGCACAGATGCCAGATTTTCTGTCCGTCTGCTACAGCAGAGGTGTAGAGAATTCCAACAAGACCTACATATCTGCTTTATTTACCTGGTCAAGGCCTATGATACCATCAGTAGACCTGGACTCTGGGTTGTTCTTTGTGCTTTCGGAGTCCCTGACCCTCTGCTCATACTCATTAAGGACCTTCATGATGGTGAGCAGGCCCGGGTAAAACTACGTGGCCGGGAGTCAGAGCCATTCCCTGTACACCTTGGGGTGCGACAGGGATGTCCTCTGGCTCCAACATTATTTAACATCTATTTCGACCACGTAGTTCTTGAAGCCTTCAGTAGCTGTACTAGAGGAATTTCCATCTGGTACAGATACAATGGGAGGCTGATCGATGCCCGGGTGCGGTCAAGGAATGGCTCCCTATTGGTCAACCACGTTATGTATGCCGACGACCTGGTAATTGCGGCTCACTCAGAGGAGGAGTTGGAGGCCCTGCTGCTGAAACTGGAGTGTACCATCAGCCCCACCAAAACGAAGCACATGCCTGGGCATTTTGTACCATCGGGCACTCTACCCCCACAACTCCCAATCGGTGATGGGGCAGTTGTGGAGAGAGTGGAGAGTTTCCTCATGACCGGCTCCGGTTTACCAGCAGAGGTCTCACTCTGAATCAGTCGAGTGGAATAATCTTTTCATCGGTTGCATAATGCTGTGTGGAAGCTACCTGGTCTGTCACTCCGCACGAAGCTTTGGGTCTTCTCGGCCACAGTCATTCCCTCCCTTCTCTACGCTTGCGAAACGTGGACCCCCTTAAATGGAACATCTCCGCCGGTTAGAAACATTTAGGCTAGCCTGCCTACGATCAATCCTGGGTTTAACCAGGCTGGATTGTGTGAGGAGCTCACAAATCCTCATGAGCTCCTCCGGCAGGCAAGGCTGCATTGGCTGTGTCATGTAGCCCGCATGCCAAAACAGCTTTTGTTCGGCCGGATCGAGGGGGCTAAACGGGCGCGGCACGGGCTAGAGAAGAGATGGAGTGATGTGGTACAGGAGGATGTAGAGCTGAGTGGACTTGCCGATGACTGGTATCAGCGGTGTCAAGATCAGCCTCTGTGGAGGAGGCTCGTGAAGGACATTACTGGGCAGTTGGAGGCAGTTGCCCTCCAACAACAACAGAGGGCGGAGGAATGACGCTTACAACAACGAGCAGAGCGCCGGGTGGCTAAAGCACAGCAAGTTGGGACAGTAGGGGGCACAGGTGGTGCATCAGCCAGTCATCTCAGTCATTTCAGTCAGTCGACCCGTGGCACCTGGGTCTGCCCCGTAACCTCTTGCCAGCAGACGTTCGACACATGTGACCTCAAGGTGCACATAGCCTGGCACAAGCGTCGTGGTGACGTCACCGCCACTTAGTGGCGAATGGCGGTTGTTGTTGTGTGTGTGTATCTGGGTGTGTCTGGGTGTGTGTCTGGGTGTGTATCTTGGTGTGAGAATGTCTAGGTGTGTGTCTGGGTGTGTGTCTGGGTGTGTGTCTGGTTGAGTTTCTGGCAGTGCGTCAGGGTGTGCGTCAGGGTGTGCGTCAGGGTGTGCGTCAGGGTGTGCGTCAGGGTGTGCGTCAGGGAGTGCGTCAGTGTGCCCCCATACCTGCCAGCCCTGGAGCTTTGCCACCTGTAGCACTGCCTGGCACGCGTCAGCGTCTCGCTGCCCGGGTCTCCGTGCACTCCACACCAGTGCCGTCAGCTCGGCGTACCTGCTCGCACACACACAGACAAAGGTCCCTCACCGTGAAGCCTTCACCCGCCATCGGGGTAAGTGCCATTAGCGAGCAGAAACTGTGAAGGCCAGCACGGTGCACGAGGAGGTGGGTGGTCAGCACTACGCCCGGCCATCTTTGTCTCCCCAGTGGCGATGATTTATTCACATTCACAGCAGCGCACCAGGTACTCATTTAAAACTGCGTGCTGTGCTAGTAACTATTTGGCACGTTTTTGTTTACGTGATAAACCTTACTAAATTGGCCGTGTCAGGTGGTGGCGGGTTTAGCGACACATTCATATATACGCGATCTAACCCAAAAAAACTCCATTACGGGTTGAACTAAACTATTTTATGTTACCAGGTGAGGCACACTGAGATTTTTAGAAGCGACCTGGCTATCAAGTGGCTTATCACGTAGACATTTTGAGCAGCAGCCAAATACTGTAAATGCATGATTCTAAATGTGGAAGGAAAAACCGGAGGACCCATAGAAAAATCCACGCGACCACTGAGAAAACACGCAAACTCCAAATATCAGCAGGCATCGTCAGGGTCGGGATCGAACCCACGACTTCCTGTATACCAGGCGAGGTTGTTAACATCTTCCAGCCACAGCGGCGCCCTTTAAGGTTGAGTCGTCTAGAATAAGAACCTCACTGGAAACCCACGCATCACGCCTCCTGGGTATGACGTTCGTCCTCTAAGACACTGGTGGTGGTGGCGCACCCATCAACCGCATCAGAACATCAGCAGGTCGATGCGCACATCTCATCTCTTTATAAATGGTCGTTGTGTGTGGTTTGTTGTCCTTCCCCCTTGCTTCCGGTGAGTGCAGTTGGCTACATACGTTGCCGAAAGGATTTCAATGTACATACACACATACTCCTTCATACGTGGAAAATAAAAGACATAAGCCAGTCGTGCAATTGTGGCCATGCAACACAAATGAGTAACCAAGTAGCAAACCCATAGAGATACATAGAGATTCATAGAGATACATACAGATACACAGAGACACATACAATCCTATAGCGACTCATAGAGATACACAGACACATACAATCCCATAGCGACTCGTAGAGATACACAGAGACCTATAGAATAACATAGAGACACATACAATCCCATAGCCACTCATAGAGATACACAAAGACCCATAGAGGTACAGAGGCACACAGATAAATACAATCCCATCATGACTCACATACAGAGACCCATTGAAATACAGAGACACATAGAGACAAATATAATCCAATCCCGACTCACTGAGATACAGAGACACATAGAGATACAGAAAGACACACAGAAATGTACAGTATTAAAAACAAACCACTGTGGTGCGTTTGTGGCCAAGCAATCCAATCATCTCTGGACTGCAGAATGAACACACTGTGGTCTCTGCTCCTTCACTCTATATATGCATGTTGAAAACATATTTTGCACTGTACTTAGCCAATAGCTACAACAGCAGCAGCTACAGCAGCTACAGAAGCAGCAGCTGCAGCAGCTACAGCAGTCGACCTCGGCATGGAGCCCCTGAAGCTGACTGTGGTGGTATGCAGGAAGTGCGTGGATGAGGTCAGCCTGACGGAGGGCCGGGACCGGCTCAGGGCATTGGCCACCGACGTTGCCCGTGGACCGGGGGAGGTATACGAATCTCGGCTCGCCGGAGGTCACGAAGCGCGGCGTCGCCGACTGCTGTGCTGCTGCCGAACAACGGCAGGCCTCAAAATGGGAGGTCCCGAGACGCCGAGTGGCCAGTGACAAACGGCGCCTCACAAATAAATGTAAATTATTATTGGTAGATGTGTAGTAACGTTGATAGTATCATTATGCTGTTAGTGTGGTGACTAAGTTGAGTCATTATGGTGGATGGCGCCACCTGCTGGTGATGCACGTCGCTCTCTATCAGCAGACATGGGTTGCCATGGAAGCGGAACATGGGGGATGGTTCTGGTGAGGGTTGAAGGTGAACAGGTGCGGACGTGCTGCCCGGTGTGAACCGGAGAGGGCACGTGACCGGCACGGGGTAGCAAGGGGACCCGAAGGGGGACCCGAGGGGTATCTGATACGAGCCGGGAGCCTTCTGGCAAAATCTAGAAGGGGGCGGGGCCGAGGGCGGGGCGAGGCCGCGCTGAACGGGATAAAGGGGAAGCCCCGACAGTGATCGGGGCTCGTATGTGAAATTAACCCTGGGTACTACGTCTTCACTCGGCATCGTGGGTCAGGCAGCACGTAGGCTGACTGACCCGTTCGTGTTGCCTGCGACTCCAGTGCGTGCCTCCGTGAAGAACACTACAGCTGTATTAGCGCACAGGCAAGAGCGCGTGCACACGCACGCACATGCGTGCAAACGGACGCACACGCATGCACACGCACATGCAGGCATGCACACGCACATGCAGGCATACACACACGTACGCGCACACACACCATGACACCCAAATACAAATAATACCAATACCCGCCATTCACCACTAAGTGACGGTAACGTCGCCACAGCATGTGCCAGGCCAGGTGCACTTTGAGGCCACGTGAAGTATCGTAGGCTCGCTCTCAGAGGTCTCGAGACAGACTCAGCAAGTGCTATGGATTGGCTGACTGATATAACTGGTAGATGCACCAGCTGTACCACTACTGTGCCAACTTGCTGTATTTTAGCCGCCCGGCACTCCACTCGTTGCTGTGATAATCGCCCCTCTGCCCTCCATTGTTGCTGGAAGGCGACTGCCTCCAACTGTCCAGTAGCGCCCTTCATGAGCCTTCTCTTAACACCGCTAATACCAGTCGTCGGCAAGTCCACTTAGTTCCACATCCTCTCGTACCGCATCAGTCCATCTCTTCTCCAGCCCATGTCGTGCCCGTTAAGGGTCATCTCCACCTTGCCGCATGATGTCCTCTGCAAACCTGCAGACCTACTCCTGGGGGTCAGATATCGGATTACTATTTTTTCCCTTAAGGATGGTGATAGGTGAGGTGCTGCAAGTTCTTTTTTTATAGAATTAAATAGTAATTTGTGATTGCAGGATACTGAGGCAGATTCCATCTCAGCAGCCCACGCCCACTACTCATCCTTGCAGCACCGCACGGCTCTCCGAATGTCCGAGCGAAGGCTGCGGTAAGCCTCCTCATTCTCCGATGTTGGGTGTTGTAGACGATGGGAGTAGGCCTGTCGTTTTCTGTCAACCAGCCAGAACACCTCCTTCAGCCAGGGTCTCTGGGGAGGTCTGGACCACATACCCAATGCAGCCATTGCTGCTGCATGAGTGACAGTTCTGAACCTCACCCATTTCCTCTCAGCATCAGAAGGAGGGGGGCATGATGCTAACCTCAGCTGCAAGCGATGTTGAAATTCCTGCGAGCAACTATCCTCAGATAGCTGAGCCCAGGCCACTGTGGGCTTGAATGGGATCCTAGATGGACACCTACCACCGGAGTGGAATAATGGCAGGCGTATCTTACAGATGGCAAGTCGATGGTCAGTGGGCAGATCAGTTCCACGGTAGGTCCTCATGTTAAGGACATGGGCATGCATCTGCTGTCCGTCACTATATAGTCCAGGAGATGTTCTTTCTGGGACCCGGCGTGCATCCATGATGTGTAGATGAACTAATGCCAGAACAGCGTGTTCATAATTACAAGCCCATGGGCTGCACATACGTCTTACAGCCTCCTACCGTTGTTATTGAGCTGATCTTGCCCATGCCTTCCGAACACTCCAACCCAGGTGTCTGCATCATGATCCACTTGGGCATTAAAGTCACCTAACAGGATGACCCTATCCCTAGGGGCCACTTTAGCTAGCACCCGGGACAGGAGGTTATTGAAGGCGTCTGACTCATCAGCCTTGTCTGCATCCATCCACTGATATTCATCTTCAGTGTGGACATAAGTAACCACGACCACTACTTCTCGCCTCTTGTTTATGGAGAGGCCAGCCCACAGTAGCACGGGACTCACAGCTTCCCATACCTCACCGCCACGCTCCCACACCCCCCTCATGCTTGTTCAAAAGAAGTGCCACTCCCTGCTGTTTAGTAGTTTCCTCTCCCAAGTGGAGAACTGTCCACCCCTTATGATGACTGGAGCCAGAACCGGTCCAGTGGAACTCCTGTGTTCCACAAAATTCCAGGCAGTACCAGTCCATCTCCCGACAGAAGAGTGGAAGCCTCTCCTCCGCAACGAGTGTCCACACACATACGCTCTCACATGCGCACACACACACACGCACATATGCACACATGCACACACGCACATATGCACACATGCACATATGCACACATGCACACACATGCACACACACGCCACACATGCACACACACTCCAAGCTGGCACAAACATGCACAACAAAGACAAAGATCCCCAGTGTAGCCTTAACAGACTGTTGGGGCAAGTGCTGTTCGCGAGCACCTATAAATACTGGCACAACACACGGGGTGGTGGGTGGCCAACACCATGCCCGTCTGCCTTTGTCTCTCCAGTGGCGATGTTTTTACACACCATACCAGGTACTCAATTTGAGGCTGAGTCGACCTAGGGGAGGCCCAGGACCAGTTCAAATAATCGTTCCTAGAGAATCGAACTCGGGTCACCAGGTTCATAGCGCAGTGCATAACCACACACACACACGCAAAACCCTCGTGTAGCCTCTATATAATTAAGTGGAGAACCTCACGTAATGCAATGCACTTAATTTGTGCTGTCACTGGTGACTGGGATGAGACCATCAAATCGCTAGAGACCGCGGTGTAACTACAACTCAGTCTATAGATCTCTTTGTGAGTGTATGGATCATTATGTAAATCTATGATTGTCTATGTATGTCTAAGACTCTATGCAAGTCTATTGGTTTATATGAGTCTATGGGTCTATATCTGAGTCTATGGGTCTCTGTGTGAGTCTACAGGTCTCTGCGTGAGTCTATGAGTCTCTATGTGAGTCTATGGGTCTCTATGCGAGTCTATGGGTCTCTATGCGAGTATATGAGTCTCT